GGAGACTCAGCACTCTTGGGTATATTAAAGGCCCAGTGGGCCTTTTACAAGGGGGGAAAAAAAAACCTTTTCCTATCACCTCAACAGACAGGATGGCTCTCACCTCCCATTTCTCAGGTGTGCCAGATTTCAAACTGCTTGACCATGAGGAGGTAGAGGGCCCCCCCTTTTCTGCGAGCCCCTCCAAACAACTGAGTAAGTTGAGGGATGAGGTTGCCCTCTCCAAAGCAAGAATAATAAAGCTATGAAGTCCAGTCACCAGAGGCTGAAGAAAGGAAAAGAAGCTCAGGCAGAGGGTACAAGGTGGAGAGTCAGACGGCCTTGGGCCACAGCCCATCTGTTGAGAAAGATTTGAGAGGAACTAGAATCCTGTTAAGACATGGCCTTTGAAGGTCAGAGATGGCTTGGTGACCAAGGCAATTCTTGCTCTTGCAAAGCACCTGGGGTCAGTTCCTAGGACCCACCCGTATGGTGGCTTATAACCATCTGTAACTCCAGTTTTGGGGGATTCTACACCCTCTTTTGGCCTCTGTGGGCACCAGGCACATGCATAGCACATGAGCATACATACATACAAAACATTCATGCCTAGGAAAAACAAACAGGGGTTGGAGTCAGGCACAGGGGCACAGGCCTTCAATTTCAACGCTCAGTAAGCAGAGCCAGGTGGATTTCGGCAAGTTTCAGGCCAGCTAGGGCCACAGAGTGAGACCCTGTTTCAAAAAAATGGGGGCAAGTAGCATGGAGAGATGGCTCAGTGTTTAGAACGCTCTTTCAGAGGACTAGGGTTTGATTCCCAGCACAACCACCTATAACTCCAGTTCCAGGAGACCCAACGCCCTGGCCTAACCACCAAGGGCACGATATGTAAGTGGTACACAGACAAAACACCCATACCAATAAATATGTGCATCACCATCACCCAGCTAAAAATAAATATTTTTAAAAGAAGAAAAAAATGCTTAAAAATAAATAAGTTGGGTCTGGAGAGAGGGCTCAGTGGTTTAGAGCACTGACTGCTCTTCCAGAGAGCAGGGTTGGATTTCCAGCACCCACACTTTAGCACACAACTATCTGTAACTTCAGTTCTGGGGGGTCTGCTGCCCTCTTTTGGCTTCTGTGGGTACTACACACACATAGTGCATATACGTACAGGTAGGCAAAGCATCCATACATATCAAGATAAAATATTTTAATTAAAAAGAAATAGCATGGCTGGGCAATGGTGGTGCACGCCTTTAATCCCAGCACTCACTTGAGAGGCAGAGGCAGGTGGATCTCTGTGAGTTCAAGGCTAGCCTGTTCTACAGAGCTAGTTCCATGACATCCAGGGCTACACAAGAGAAATCTTGTCTTAAAAAAACAATAAATAAATAAACAAATAGAATGTAATTTTTGTTGTTGTTTTGAGATAGGGTTTCTCTGTGTAGCTCTGGCTGTCCTGGAACTCAATATGTAGACCAGGCTGGCTTTGAACTCAAGAATTCCATCTGCTTCTGCCTCCCGAGTGCTGGGATTAAAGGCGTACACCACCACTGCCAAGCAATAATGTGAAAAAAAAAAAATTAAGTTAAAAAAAAAAATCTGGGGGACATCGGGCAGTGCTGGCGCACACCTTTAATACCATCACTTGGGAGGCAGAGCCAGGTGGATCTCTGTGAGTTCAAGGCCAGCCTGGTCTACAGAGAGAGATCCGGGACAGGAACCAAAACTACAGAGAGGGGCTGGAGAAATGGCTTAGAGGTTAATAGCACCGACTGCTCTTCCAGAGGTCCTGAGTTCAATTCCCAGCAACCACATGGTGGATCACAACCATCTGTAATAAGGTCTGGTGCCCTCTTCTGGTCATACATGCTGTATACATAATAAATAAATCTTTAAAAAAAAAAACTACAGAGAAACCCTGTCTCGAAAAACAAATAAATAAATAAATAAATAAATAAAAAAGAAAGGAAAAAAAATCTAGGGCTGCCTCTGATTGAGTATCTTATGTCATGTGCCAACTCTGAACCACTCAGTGCAACCAGGACCAAGTCTAATGAGTTATATGAGGAACATTCTCCAGGAGGAAAAGGAAACACTCTATTTCAAGCAGTTATCACCAAAAGGATGGAGGATACAAGTGTCTCTCAAGTGACCAGCTGGCACTCATTGTTGCTATGGGAGCAGCTTTGATGGGGAGCCTCTGGGCATGCATGCTCCAAGCTGGGTCCCTTGCTTATGCTAAGAACATCATGGAATCCACACCAGACATCAGCTGGCCGCGTTTTCTTCAAGAAATGCACTTACAGACCATTCATAAGAGCACAGCGGGGCAGGATGGCATTAACCCTTTCAGCTATTTCCCAAGTTAGGCATCCATAACTCCTACGAGTTCAAAGCTAAGGTATCCAGAGAGGAAGGTCTCAGGTGACAGCCTTCTACCCATCCCTGGGTGGCCCTATCCTAATGATGAAAACAAGCTGGCCATGGTGCAGAATCGGAGTACACTGTATCAGGGCATGGCTGCTGGCCGCGTTTGTTGGAGACAGGCCTGTGAGACCAGACCAGACTAAGAGAAGCCCTAAAGAAGGCTGGGCACAGGCCTTCTGTCTTCAAAAAACACTTTCCACCGGGAGGGGACCACAGAGAGGTCAGAAGCCTGAGGCAGACAGGGACGACCCAGAGCTAGGTTGGCCCCCGAGGCACTGTGCACGTAGACCATCTGCAGTGAACTGACAACAGGGTATGTGACTGCAATGCTGGTCCCCGAGGGCAGCCCGCGACCTGTAACTCGGGAGGCCCTAGCACCGGGGGAGCCTTTGGGGCCTCAGCTCTGTCCCCTCCAGAAAAAAGGAGCAGGTCCTGGGAATGAGACATTAACCGCCCTGAGGGGTTTGCACGGGATGTGACGCTGACTCCACATTGACTAAGGTTCCAGCAAGAGAGGGAGGCGAGTGTAACGGAAGGGAAGGTACCTCCCCGGACCGGGCCCATTGAAAGGGCCCTTGCCTAGACCTAACAAATCTTGCGAGCCCCTACAGCCCTGCGCCACCAGAGGGCGCCCGTGGTTCACGAATCTTCCCGACCTTTCCTAGGCATTGGCGATGTAGGCAGCAGGATCTTGGTGACCCTGAACCATTTGGAAAGGCCCCCAGGCAATGGTTGTGTGCTAGGCCAGGTGAAAGTATACCCAGGGTGGCAGTTCCCAGGACTGATCCCAGAGAACAGGATGCAGACTCAGTGTACATCTGGGTGTCTCAGAACCAGGAAGTCGGCAGGACCTCACACTATTGTCCCCATTTTCCAGAAGACAGGACTGATGCCGCAGCAAGACTCGCTCGCTGGCTCCGTTAACGTGGCTGTCAGATCAGTATTTCCTACTGCAGCCTCGGGGGTCAAGTTCAGCTGCCCCCAGCTTCCTGCACGGCTGTCACAGGTGGAGCGCACAGCCCTCCACCTGCTTTAGAGACCTTCCCCTCCTGGATTCAGGGTTTGCAAACATCCTAGTGACCAACGGTCCTGGGATGAGTTAGGGTTTCTCTCCTGGAGGAACCCGCAGAGAAGACCGGGTGCACAGGGTTCCACCAAAGCCTGTCTCCGCTCTGGGGTACATCCCTGCTGAATGGTGCCGGGCAGGACTGTAGAGCTACAGCCAAAAGTCCTCTTGGCCACAGTGTGAGATGAGCCAGGCCTTGTGTGCTCCGGGGTGGAAGGGTAGACTGCAGTGATACATACTACAGGGGCAGGTGCTGGATCACAGTCTCTCCTGCTGCCCTGTGTCCCTCCCTCCATCACCTTAACCCCAACCATTCTATCTCCCAGCCCTTTCCCCTCCCACTTCCAAATTCCCCTATCTCCCCTTCCTGGGATGCCCTCCCTGACTCAGTTTCCTTTGTCCTCATTTGGGGTCCAGGGTCACTAAACCATTTTTGGCTTTTTTGAGACAAGGGTTTCTCCGTGTACGTCCTGGCTGTCCTGGCACTTGTAGACCAGGCTGGCCTCGGGAGTCCTTAGGTTAAAGCTGCAAGGCAGCGCACCCAGCCAGGGATTTTAAATCTATGTCCTGGCTTGCTGCTTGCTCCTCTGGACACCTCTCCAGATCAGATGACTCCTTTCAAATGGAGGACCCGAGAGCAACTGCAGGTGAGGGGACTGAACACACAGTGCTTCCTCTGGAAGCTGGGTCCCAGGAGTTGAGTGCAATCTTTTGGGAGTCTTCTGACTCGGGGCCCAGACCCATTTCCCAACTAGCTATGAAACTGAGTCTCAAGAGCTGTGGCCAGTGTCCTTCAGTCTCCACCAGCACGAAGTCAGAGAACGTCCATTCCCTCAGTTCCCGGCTGCAAACTAGCAAAGCTCATCCCCCACACTCACAGCCCAGTCTTCCCTCACCTTGAAGGGCCGAGGTACCCCACATCCCAGAGTTGACCAACTCAACCTGCCAATAGCACCCCCTACGGGCTTTTTCTCTCCCAAAGCCTGAAAAATCCCCACCACCTCTACAATGCGCTCTAACGGGAAGGTGAAGGTTTGCAGGTGAGGCCAGCCCCTGAATGACCGACCAGTCTGTGTGTGACACTCTGGGAGTTAAAGGCCTGGCTGGTAAGTACCATGGGCCACCACTAGGGGCAGCCACCAAACCGTCCTATTACTAGGACAGCAGCCCAGCGAGAACTCGGCACTCCACATCCAGCCCACATCTGGCAGCCAGTGACCTAAGTCCAACCCCCAGATCGAGATGTTGGTACCGTCGGTAGGAAAGGACAGGCCACGGGAACCTCAACGTCCTGTGTCAGACTAAGATACAAGGTTAACATTAACCTTTTCTGTACCAGTGCCCTAATCCCAGCGCTACCCACTCCCCTCTCCAGAATCAGGTGGTAAACAAGTCAGGGATATGCAATCACTCAAGGTTCAGGGGTCAGGAGATAAAGGAGACATTCCCAAAGAACTAAACACACACGCGGACATACGCCCACACGCACGCACGCAGAAAAACGAGGCTGGGGACACCACCGTTAGAACAACTCAGCAAAATAAAATTCCGGTTTATTGTTGGACATCGTTTCACACATACATCAACAGGCCAAAAAAAATAAACAGCAACTTCATAGACAAAAAAAGGAAGGAAAAAAAAAGAAACCTTTTATCTTTGGCCTTTTTAACCATCTCATACAAACCAACTACTTATGGTACAGCTAGGTACATACACAAAAAAAGTTACTGGAATGCTCGGAATAAGATTGTTTTTTTGTTGTTGTTTTTGTTTTTTTTACAAGGTTTTTTTTTCTCCTTTGAGATTATAATGAACATGGTCACACCACAAGTAAGGTCTGAAGTAGGACAGAGAACGCTCTGAAGGCTGGTCTGGTCACCCGTTATCATTAAAAATGGCTGACCCTTAACAATATGTACAAAAATATAAAATGTAAATAAAAAATACAAACAAATTTTCCTTTTAAAGTATTTTTAAGAAAAAAAGCAGGGCCTTGGAAGTTTTGGTTCTTTTTTCCTCCCCTGTTGCAAATTCATGTGGTTTTGGTGGGGTGGTGGAGAGCGCCATGTCGGTGTGGGTGGCAGTGCCCGCTGTGGGCGGGCGGGGCCTGCTCCTCTACTCGAAGGTGACCACGTTTAAATTCTGAGACGGGAAGTGGAGGGTGAATAGGTCACGGCGGCCTTAAGTTTAGCTTTTCCTTTTGCTGTCTAGTCATCCTC